GAGTTTGGACCCAATCGGACCAGTAGATTTTGAGAAATCTCAAAAATAAATATTTTTCTTCCGAACGACTTGACCGATCGACACCAAAAACTAATCAGTTCTAAACCTTGAAAAAACACATCGTTTGCCGCAAACCGGGTCAAAATCGGTTGATTAATTGCGAGATATTGAAAACGAAAAATTTCGAAGAGCTCAAAAGCAGTGAAAAAAGCGAAATTTGAACGTTAGCGTATGAAATTAGAGGGAAGTTGCAGGGATGGCCCTTGAGGCCAACCGTTTTCCACATTTTTTTCCTAGACCTAATTTTAACAACGATTATGAAACGAATGGGCCCATAAATAGGGGTCTTATAATTATTTGACTCTGGCGTATTTTTTAAAAAGCGATACTTCTTCTCTTTCCCAAATATACTATGATTTTGAGACGTACCTGTCTATAAATACATGGTTCAGTACTGATTTGACTCCATCTCCTTTCTTAAAAGTCCTGAAAGCTTCTAAAAATTTAAAAAAATTTCATAATTTAATTAAAAGTGGTAGAACGGTGTGGCAGCTCGTACGTAGTGGGCAAAGAAACATTAAGTCACTTAATTCGACAATATGAAAAGACAACAAAAAATTTACCGCAAAAGCATAAGAAAATTGTCTTGGTACTTTAAAAACTTTACAAAACTTTTCTTGTCCATCAATGCTGCACTGCTGGAGACAATTAAATTGACAATATTTCATATAATTACATTTACGAAAACTGCATAGAACTACTACGAAAAACTTTCTGTACAACTACAACAATAATGCAAAAATTGTTACTTTATCTTTTGTTTGGAATTCCATTTGCAGAACCCGTTGACTTTTCTCGTTCGGAAGGCAGCGGCAGCAGCAGCAGTCACAGTGCAAAGAGCAGTAATAATGCGACGCTAACGAATGCCAGTAGCCACACCACCAACAATAACAATCACATGCAACAGAGTGGCAGCTCAAATAGTAGCAATAATGGTGCTGACAATATTAATGGCGTTGAAAAGGCATTTGCTGCGCAGGCTTATGCCCGCGAACAGCAACAGCAACAACAACGCGCAGCGCATCCACAACAAAGCATACTCCCACACGCGCAGACACTTCCAACACACTTGCAATTACGTGCTAACAGCAATACTTGTAATAATGGCAGCGACTCGCTGGATGATGGCACGCACTCCCAACTGCTGCATGGCGGCCACAATGTTGCGTCGCATCAGCAACATTTACAAATGTTGCGCAACATTTCGGGTGGTCAATTGGAGAATGCCATGGGCTTTCTGCAGCATGATTACTCCACGGACGATTATTCGGATGTGGATGATGACGAGGAGGAAGATGATGACGGGAGCGACGTGGATATTGTGGGCGATGCGAAACTCTATCACTTGACATAGTGCCAGTAAAATAGTAACGGATGTGAGAGGGGGAATGTAATTGAAATTAGAAAAGAACGCGAGTTTAAACTTCCAGTGCTGGATTTTAAATAGGAAAGTATAATATTTTTTCCAAATTCCTGTAAATAATTGATGTACGATAGAACACTATAAGTTTTAGAATAAAAATAGCAATATGAAATTAAAATTCGAACTCGCTGGTGCAGACATCGCTAATACATTTTTTATCGATCTTGCCTTAGAGGAAGTGGCGGAGCCATAAGCAAAATTCTCGATTCATCTGCTTTTCCACCAGGCAGTGCCTAAACACTGGGTATCTAAATGTGGTAAACAAATGGGCATATAGAAATGTAAGGCATCGGTAGCCTTATACTGTTGTAGAAAAGCAATTGTGAAGAGGTGGGTCCTCTCACGAAAAGCGGTGTTGTGGATCTATGGGCAGTAGTTAAGGCAATCACGTTAAATGGAGTCATTGTTTGATTGAGGGCGCTCGGAAAACCCACACTAGCTAAGCAGCTGGAGCGTGCTCAACGATTGGCCCTCATGAGCATCTGTGGTGCATTAAGGACAGCAGCAACAATGGCAGTGAATGCCATTCTACACGTTGGACAGACTAAAATTCTCCACTACTTCGATTGCATTCCTGACAATCTAGATCACTGCATCGCGATACCTACTCCTGGCGGTTCCTTCCGAGCTCGAAACCATGCGATCAATGTAGCAGTAGATGTATAGCTCCGAAGTGCAGCTTTCTTCAGAGAGATGTGCATTTACTCCGATAGCCAAGCGGCTATACTGACTTTGAGCTCGCTCAGTGTGCGCTGAAAATATGTCAAGGAGTGCATTACCTCATTAGCAATAGTTTCAAGCTTCGAACATATTAGACTTGTATGGATGCCCGATCACAGCGGGATCGCAGGAAACTGCAAAGCCGGTGAGCTTGCTAGAGGGAGTACCCTTACCCCAATTCTGGCCTTAAGTGTAGCGTAAGAGGTCCTCGAAACTATTTACTAGCAAAGTCAATCTCGTCGCAATTGTTGGTGTTCGGACAGAACACTGGCCAATAGATTAACTAATATTATATTATGTTCGGACAGAACACTGTCCAATAGATTAACTAAATATTTTGCTGGACATTGTTTTCTACAGATATATGGAGGAAGTTTAGGTGAAATCATCTTGTCATTTTCTCCTCTATTTCCCGGTGTTACCAGACTGAGCTTGAAATATTTCGGCAGACACACCTTCGGGGGACGTATGTAGCAAAAAGACTGGGATTGCTATTAACAGCCCTTATAAATTTGTGGTAAGTTCGAAACACTTCGTCAATCTATGAGGATTTGGTGGTCCACTATTAGGAGTTCATAGGTAATACAATGGACGAACATCTGTCAAAGTGAAATCTATCGCTTAGAATAAACTCTACGACCTAAGCTAACCTATACAATGGCACGATATTTTCGTTAAGAAACATCATGAGCCCAACGCAACTTTCCAAATGCGATTACCTCCAAAAATATATAAGTCATCCGAATGTCGGATGAAGTGAAAACCAGGAAGCTGAAATCTTAGCAGAACAGCCAACTGAATTCAAAAAAAATGTTTAGTCTTACCGCATGCGCAAATTGTACAATAATTAGAACTGATATCGCTAGTGAGAGAGATTTCTCTTACTCGGTATAAAGATTTCTCTAAACTCAGGGAACTCAGCATATGAAGGCAACGAAAAGATGATGATGAACAAACCAAAAATCTTCTACTTAAGCTTCACCTTCAGAAAATAAGAGTGGATTCGGCGGAATGCAGAGCATGCACGCAGGATGATGATATACTGGAACATAATATTTGCCAGCCTTCAGTCAGATGTGACGGGGTATATTCTATGTCTCCCAAAGCTTCAACTTGAGACATTGGGCAGCTGGATTCGAAAAAAATTAGATTTTTACCAAATCAGCTGAGTTGCTGGGTAACGTTTAATTCGGTTACTAACCTAGGCCTAAAGATGGCCTAAGTGCAGTCGCCTGCGGTCTGGCGCTCCTGCGTCTGCCTTTTCAAGCAACCAACCAAATCGCAGTACCTATCCATAACAGCAGCTTTCTCCGCCTTTGTTCAGCCAAAAATCTTTTCGTTTTAGTCTTTCGTTAATTTTTAAAGGATTGCCACTTCCTTACAACGTTTAGGTGAGTAAGAGACCATTTGGCCCGGATCTACTGCTGTTGACCATTTGTGAGAGCAAGTCTCCAATTTCAAAGTCAGCTGTTCACAGACGGCCCAAACTATTTTAGAACTACTCTTATTTGTGGCGTACCAAAACGGCTTTTATACGGTAAGCTGTAGTACGGAGGATATTTGTAGAAAGACAAGGGTTTAGAAATCAATACGTACATGGAATAGAAATTTCAATTTATTGATTCTTAAATCATTTTTATCGTATTTAGTGGAATAAATCACAAACCGTTTGTGTCGATGGTTATATGGATTAAATGAAATGCAAAAAATATTTAGCCTCCAACACCTGATCTTAATATTATATATACACAATTCTAAATATTTATAAATAATATCTTAATTTCATAAAAGTGGCATATTATTATAAATTTAGATTATATATGAGCTTGGCAATAAGTTGAGAGAGCAAATCAAGAGGCGCTTTATCGGTCTGTCTACTGTCAATAACGTTACCACTTTCTGCGGAAGAATATATCAACAACGCAAGGGTCTTCACTCGTTGAAGATTACCTGTAGTAGGTACTGCTTCGGAACTAGTTTCTGTACTTAAATCACGTTCCGTTGTACTTATAACCGGTTCTTCAGGTTGTGGAGTGCTTGATGGCTGTGGCTCCTCAGTTGGTATAGAGCTAACAATAGTTTCTTCAGTAGTTACCACTGGTACATTAGTGCTTACTTCAAGTTCAGGCTGAGTGGAGCTTTCACTTGGTTGCTCAGTTGCTACAGTAGTTCCTTCAGGTTCAGGCTGAGTGGAGCTTTGACTTGGTTGCTCAGGTTCCGACTGAGTGGAGCTTTCACTTGGTTGCTCTGTTGCTACAATAGTAACATCGGGCTCATCGTTTTGTGGAGGAAGTGTTGTGCCTACTTTTAGACTTTCGGAACTAGGAGTACTCGCATTTAATTCTTCTGAATCAGGTATGTCAGTTTGGCCTTCTGATTTAGTTGTTTCTACTACAGACTGAGTCGTGCCCTCTGTAGTAGTGCCTACTGCAGTCAGAGTAGTTGATTCTTCCGAAGCTTCTGTTGCTTCCGCTGATACTTCAGTGCTTATTTCGGGCTCTTCTGGTGTTTCTATTGCAGTCAGAGTAGTTGATTCTACCGGAGCTTCTGTTGCTTCCGCTGATACTTCAGTGCTTACTTCGGGTTCTTCTGTTGTGGTAGTTTCTACTGCAGTCAGAGTAGTTGATTCTACCGGAGCTTCTGTTGCTTCCACAGATACTTCAGTGCTTATTTCGGGCTCTTCTGGTGTGGTAGTTTCTACTGCCGTCAGAGTAGATGAATCTACCGGAGCTTCTGTAGCTTCCACTAATACTTCAGTACTTATTTCGGGCTCTTCTGGTGTTTCTATTGCAGTCAGAGTAGTTGATTCTACCGGAGCTTCTGTTGCTTCCGCTGATACTTCAGTGCTTACTTCGGGTTTCTTCTGTTGTGGTGTTTTCTATGCAGTCAGAGTAGTTGATTCTACCGAGCTTCTGTTGCTTCCAAGATACTTCAGTGCTTATTTCGGGCTCTTCTGGTGTGGTAGTTCTCTGCCGTCAGAGTAGATGAATCTACCGGAGCTTCTGTAGCTTCCACTAATACTTCGTGCTTATTCGGGCTCTTCTGGTGTGTTTTCTATGCAGTCGAGAGTTGATTTATCTACCGGAGCTTCTGTTGCTTCCGCTGATACTTCAGTGCTTACTTCGGCGTTCTTCTGTGTGGTAGTTTCTACTGCAGTCAGAGTAGTTGATTCTACCGGAGCTTCTGATTGCTTCCACTGACATTCAGTGCTTACTTCGGGCTCCTTCTGGTGTGGAGGTTTCACTGCAGTCAGAGTAGTTGATTCTACCGAGCTTCTGTTGCTCCACTGATACTTCGTGCTATATTCGGGCTCTTCTGGTGTGGTAGTTTCTCACTGCGTCAGAGTAGATGAATCTACGAAAAAATACTAACTTGAAATTAACTGAACTATCAACTAGAGCTACTCTATCTACTCTGCTGTGGAAGGGCTTCTGTGCTTCCACTAACACTTCAGTACTATTGGGCTCTTCTGGTGTGGTAGTTTCTACTGCAGTCAGGTATTGTTCTTCTGGAGCTTCTGTTGCTTCCTGACACTTCAGTGCTATTTCGGGCTCTTCTGGTGTGTTAGCTCTACTAGACTGCTTAGGTCTAGAGTAGGTTGATTCTTGGAGCTTCTGGCTCAGTCTTCTGTTGTTTCCTGCACATGATACTTCTGTGTTTCAGTACTTATTTCGGGCTGTTCTGGTGTGGTAGGTCTCTGCGTCAGAGTAGTTGATCTACTGGACTTCTGAGCTTCCACTGATCCTTCAGTGCTTACTGTTGCTTCCGCTGATCTTCAGTGCTACTCGGGCTCTTCTGGTGTGGTGGTTTCTACTGCAGTCAGAGTAGTTGAATCTACCGGAGCTTCTGTAGCTTCCACGATACTTCAGTGCTACTGGCCTCTCTGGTGTGGCGTTTCTACTGCCGTCAGAGTAGTTGAATCTACCGGGCTTCTGTACTTCCACTAATACTTCAGTGCTATTGCGGCTCTTCTGGTGTGGTGGTTTCTACTGCAGTCAGGTAGTTGATTCTACCGGGCTTCTGTTGCTTCCACTGATACTTCAGTGCTTACTTCGGGCTCTACTGGTGTGGTGTTTTCCACTGCAGTCAGAGTAGTTGATTCTACGGAGCTTCTGTTGCTTTCCACTGACACTTCAGTGCTTACTTCGGGCTCTTCTGGTGTGGTAGTTTCAACTGCAGGTCAGAGTAGTTGATTCTACCGGAGCTTCTGTTGCTTCCACAGATCTTCAGTGCTTATTTCGGCTCTTCTGGTGTGGTAGTTTCTACTGCAGTCAAGTAGTTGATTCTTCTGAACTTCTGTTGCTTCTGCTGATACTTAGTGTTATTTCGGGCTCTTCTGGTGTGGTAGTTTCTACGGTCAGGTAGTTGATTCTACCGGTTTCTGTTGGCTTCCGCTGATACTTCAGTGCTTACTCGGGCTCTTCTGGTATGGTAGTTTCTACTGCAATCAGAGTAGTTGATTCTACTGGAGCTTCTGTTGCTCCACTAATACTTCAGTGCTCACTTCGGGTTCTTCTGGTGTAGTAGTTTCTACTGCAGTCAGGGTAGTAGATTCTACCGAGCTTCTGTTGCTTCCACTGATTCTTCAGTGCTTACTTCGGGCTCTTCTGGTGGTAGTTTACTGCCTCAGAGTAGTTGATTCCACCGGAGCTGCTGTTGCTCCACAGATACTTCAGTGCTTACTTCGGGCTCTTCTGGTGTGGTAGTTTTCTTGCAGTCAGAGTAGTTGATTCTAACGGAGCTTCTGTTGCTTCCGAGATACTTCCGTGCTTACTTCGGGCTCTTCTGGTGTGGTGTTTCTACTGCGAGTCAGAGTAGTGATTCTATCGAACTTCTGTTGCTTCCGCTGTTACTTCAGTGCTTAATTCGGCCTCTTCTGGTGTAGTAATTTCTACTGCAGTCAGAGTAGTTGATTCTACCGGAGCTTCTGTTGCTTCCACTAATACTTCAGTGCTTACTTCGGGCTCTTCTGGTGTGGTAGTTTCCACTGCAGTCAGAGTAGTTGATTCTACCGGAGCTTCTGTTGCTTCACTGATACTTCGTGCTTACTTCGGGCTCTTCTGGTGTGGTAGTTTCTACTGCCGTTAGAGTAGTTGAATCTTGGAGTTCAGTTGCTTCACTGATACTTCAGTATTAATTCGGGCTCTTCTGGTGTGGTTTCTACTGCGGTCAAAGTAGTTGATTCTACCGGAGCTCTGTTGCTTCCACTAATACTTCAGTGCTTACTTCGGGCTCTTCTGGTGTGGTAGGTTCCACTGCAGTCAGAGTAGCTGATTCTAACGAAGCTTCTGTCCTCCACTAATACTTCAGTGTTAATTCGGGCACTTCTGGTGTGGTGTTTCTACTGAGTCAGAGTAGTTGATTCAACGGAGCTTCTGTTGCTTCCGCTGATACTTCAGTGCTTATCCGGCCTCCTCTGGTGTGGTAGTTTCTACTGCAGTCAAAGTGTTGATTCACCGGAGCTTCTGTTGCTTCCACTGATACTTCAGTGCTTATTTCGGGCTTTCTGTGTGGTAGTTTCTACTGCAGTCAAGGTATTGATTCTACCGGAGCTTCTGTTGCTTCCACTGATACTTCAGTGCTTATTCGGGCTCTTCTGTGTGGTAGTTCCACTGCAGTCAGAGTAGTTATCTACGGAGCTTCTGTCGCTTCCACTAATACTTAGTGCTTAATTCGGGCACTTCTGGTGTGTAGTTTCTACTGCAGTCAGAGTAGTTGATTCAACGGAGCTTCTGTTGCTTCCGCTGATACTTCAGTGCTTATTTCGCCTCCTCTGGTGTGGTAGTTTCTACTGCAGTCAAAGTAGTTGATTCAACCGGAGCTTCTGTTGCTTCCACTGATACTTCAGTGCTTATTTCGGGCTCTTCTGGTGTGGTAGTTTCTACTGCAGTCAAGGTAGTTGATTCTACCGGAGCTTCTGTTGCTTCCACTGATACTTCAGTGCTTATTCGGGCTCTTCTGTGGTGGTAGTTTCTACTGCAGTCAAAGTTGATTCAACCGGAGCTTCTGTTGCTTCCACTGATACTTCAGTGCTTACTTCGGGCTCTTCTGGTGTGGTAGTTTCTACTGCAGTCAAAGTAGTTGATTCAACCGGAGTTTCTGTTGCTTCCACTGATACTTCAGTGCTTACTTCGGGCTCTTCTGGTGTGGTAGGTTCCACTGCAGTCAGAGTAGTTGATTCTAACGGAGCTTCTGTCGCTTCCACTAATACTTCAGTGCTTAATTCGGGCACTTCTGGTGTGGTAGTTTCTACTGCAGTCAGAGTAGTAGATTCTACCGGAGTTTCTGTTGCTTCCGCTGATACTTCAGTGCTTAATTCGGGCTCTTCTGGTGTGGTAGTTTCTACTGCAGTCAGAGTAGTTGATTCTGCCGGAGCTTCTGTTGCTTCCGCTGATACTTCAGTGCTTATTCGGCCTCTTCTGGTGTGGTAGTTTCTACTGCAGTCAGAGTAGTTGATTCTACCGGAGTTTCTGTTGCTTCCACCGATACTTCCGTGCTAACTTCGGGCTGTTCTGGTGTGGTAGTTTCTCCTGCAGTCAGGGTAGTTGATTCTATCGGAGCTTCTGTTGCTTCCACTGATACTTCAGTGTCTACTTCGGGCTCTTCTGGTGTGATAGTTTCTACTGCAGTCAGAGTAGTTGATTCTACTGGAGCTTCTGTTGCTTCCACTGATACTTCAGTGCTTACTTCGGGCTCTTCTCTGGTGGTAGTTTCTACGCAGTCAGAGTAGTTGATTCTACCGGAGTTTCTGTTGCTTCCACCGATACTTCCGTGCTAACTTCGGGCTGTTCTGGTGTGGTAGTTTCTCCTGCAGTCAGGGTAGTTGATTCTATCGGAGCTTCTGTTGCTTCCACTGATACTTCAGTGCTTACTTCGGCCTCTTCTGGTGTGGTAGTTTCTACTGCAGTCAGAGTAGTTGATTCTGCCGGAGCTTCTGTTGCTTCCGCTGATACTTCAGTGCTTAATTCGGCCTCTTCTGGTGTGGTAGTTTCTACTGCAGTCAGAGTAGTTGATTCTACCGGAGTTTCTGTTGCTTCCACTAATACTTCAGTGCTTAATTCGGGCTCTTCTGGTGTAGTAGTTTCTACTGCAGTTAGAGTAGTTGATTCTACCGGAGCTTCTGTTGCTTCCACTGATACTTCAGTGCTTATTTCGGGCTCTTCTGGTGTGGTAGTTTCTACTGCAGTCAAAGTAGTTGATTCAACCGGAGCTTCTGTTGCTTCCACTGATACTTCAGTGCTTACTTCGGGCTCTTCTGGGGTGGTAGTTTCTCCTGCAGTCAGGGTAGTTGATTCTATCGGAGTTTCTGTTGCTTCCGCTAATACTTCAGTGCTTAATTCGGCCTCCTCTGGTGTGGTAGTTTCTACTGCAGTCAGAGTAGTTGATTCTGCCGGAGCTTCTGTTGCTTCCGCTGATACTTCAGTGCTTAATTCGGCCTCTTCTGGTGTGGTAGTTTCTACTGCAGTCAGAGTAGTTGATTCTACTGGAGCTTCTGTTGCTTCCACTAATACTTCAGTGCTTACTTCGGGCTCGTCTGGTGTGGTAGTTTCTACTGCAGTCAGAGTAGTTGATTCTACCGGAGCTTCTGTTGCTTCCACTGATACTTCGTGGCTTACTTCGGGCTCTTCTGGTGTGGAGCTTCTGCAGTCAAGTAGTTAATTCAACCGGGCTTCTGTTGCTTCCACTGATACTTCAGTGCTTACTCGGGCTCTTCTGGTGTGGTAGCTTCCACTGCAGTCAGAGTAGTTTGATTCTACCGGAGCTTGTAGCTTCCACTGATACTTCAGTGCTTCATGGGCTCTTCTGGTGTGGTGTTTCCACTGCAGGTCAGAGAAGTTGATTCTACCGGAGCTTCTGTTGCTTCCACTAATACTTCAGTGCTTATTCGGGCTCTTCTGGTGTGTAGTTTTCTCTGCAGTCAAGTAGTTAATTCACCGGAGCTTCTGTTGCTTCCACTGATACTTCAGTGCTTACTTCGGCTCTTCTGGTGTGGTAGCTTCCACTGCAGTCAAGTAGTTGATTCTACCGGGCTTCTGTAGCTTCCCTGATACTTCAGTGCTACATCGGGCTCTTCTGGTGTGGTAGTTTCTACTGCAGTCAGAGTAGTTGATTCTACAGGAGCTTCTGTTGCTTCCACTGATACTTCAGTGCTTACATGGCTCTTCTGGTGTGGTAGTTTCTACTGCAGTCAGAGTAGTGATTCTACCGGAGCTTCTGTGCTTCCACTGATACTTCAGTGCTTACTTCGGGCTCGTCTGGTGTGGTATTCTACTGCAGTCAGAGTCGTTGATTCTACAGGAGCTTCTGTTGCTTCCACTGAACTTCAGTGCTTACTTCGGGCTCTTCTGGTGTGGTAGCTTCTACTGCATCAGAGTAGTTGATTCTACCGGAGCTTCTGTTGCTTCCACTAATACTTCAGTGCTTACTTCGGGCTCTTCTGGTGTGGTAGTTTCCACTGCAGTCAGAGTAGTTGATTCTACCGGAGCTTCTGTTGCTTCCACTGATACTTCGGTGCTTACTTCGGGCTCTTCTGGTGTGGTAGTTTCTACTGCCGTTAGAGTAGTTGAATCTATTGGAGCTTCAGTTGCTTCCACTGATACTTCAGTACTTAATTCGGGCTCTTCTGGTGTGGTTTCTACTGCAGTCAAAGTAGTTGATTCTACCGGAGCTACTGTTGCTTCCACTAATACTTCAGTGCTTACTTCGGGCTCTTCTGGTGTGGTAGGTTCCACTGCAGTCAGAGTAGCTGATTCTAACGGAGCTTCTGTCGCTTCCACTAATACTTCAGTGCTTAATTCGGGCACTTCTGGTGTGGTAGTTTCTACTGCAGTCAGAGTAGTTGATTCAACCGGAGCTTCTGTTGCTTCCTATTACGTATTGCTACTCTGACTGCAGTGGTGAAACTTACCACATCAGAAGAGCTCGAAGTAAGCACTGAAGTACGCGGAAGCAACAGAAGCCCGGTAGAATCAACTACCTGACCGCAGCAGAAACCACCACACGAGAAGAGCCCATAAGCAGCACTGAAGTTTCAGCGGAAGCAACAGAAGCCCGGTGAATCAATACTCTGACTGCAGAACCACCACCAGAAGAGGCCGAGTTAAGCACCGAAGTATTAGTGGAAGCAACAGAAGCCCGGTAGAATCAACAACTACTCTGACTGCAGAAACCACCACACCAGAAGAGATCGGTTTGGGCGACCGAAGTAACAGTGGAAGGCAACAGGCTCCGGTAGAATCAACTACTTGACTGCAGGAAACCAACACCAGAAGAGCCCGAAGTAAGCACCGAAGTATCAGTGGAAGCAACAGAAGCCCGGTAGAATCAACTACTGACCGCAGTAGAAACTACCACACCAGAAGAGGCCGAATTACACTGAAGTTCTTCAGCGGAAGCAACAGAAGCCCGCCATGAATCAACTACTCTGACTGCAGTAGAAACTACCACACGAGAAGAGCCCGAAGTAAGCACAGAAGTAACATGGAAGCAACAGAAGCTCCGGTAGAATCAATTAATAACGGGCAGTAGAAACTACCACACCAGAAGAGCCCGAAGTAAGCACTGAAGTATCAGTGGAAGCACAGAAGCTCCATGAATCAACTGGCTTTGACTGCAGTAGAAACTACCACACCAGAAGAGCCCAGCAAGCACCGAAGTATCAGTGAAGCTAACAGAAGCCCGGTAGAATCAACTACTGACCGTAGAACCACCTCACCAGAAGAGCCTGAAATAAGCACCAGTATCAGTGGAAGCAACAGAAGCCCGGTAGAATCAATTACCTGACCGCAGTAGAAACACCACAACTGCAGTTGTTCGAAGCAAGCACAGAAGTAACAGCGGAAGCAACAGAAGCCTGGTAGAATCAACTACTTAACTGCAGTAGAAACTACTACACCAGAAGAGCCTGAATAAGCACTGAAGTATTAGTGGAAGCAACTGAAGCTCCGGTAGAATCAACTACTCTGACTGCAGTAGAAACTACCACACCAGAAGAGCCTGATGTAAGCACTGAAGTATCAGTGGAAGCTGCTGCAGAAGCTCCGGCATTCTACTACTCTGACCGCAGAAACCGCCACCACACCAGAAGAGCCCGATGCTAATCGAAGCATCAGCGAAGCAAACAGAGTTCGGTAGATTCACTTCCGACTGCAGTAGAAACCACCACACCAGAAGAGCCCGAATTAAGCACCGAAGCATTAGTAGCCAACAGAAGTTCCGGTAGATTCTACTACTCTGACCGCGGAAACCACTACACCAGAAGAGGCCGAATTAAGCACTGAAGTATCAGGAAGCAACAGAAGCTCCGGTAGATTCTACTGTTTGACTGCAGAAACTACCACCAGAAGAGCCCGATGTAAGCACTGAAGTATCAGCGGAAGCAATGACGTTCCGGTAGACCCACATCGACTGCAGTAGAAACCACCACACCAGGAGAGCCCGATGCTACACTGAAGCATCAGTGAAAGCTACAGAAGCCCGGTAGATTCTACCACTTCGACTGCAGTAGAAACCACCACACCAGAAGAGCCCGATGCTAACGAAGTATCAGT